CCGATGCGGGACTCGATCCCGGGACTCCAGGATCATGACCTGAGCCGAAGGCAGTCGCTTAACCGACTGAGCCACCCAGGCGCCCTGAATCTCTAATATCTTTTTATTTTTAATTTTTATTGAGATGTAATTGATGTGTAACATTGTTAGTATCAGATGTACAACGATTTGATATGCATGTATTTTGTGAAATGATCAGCTACAGTAAGTCCAGTTAACATCCAGCACCACAAAAAGTTACAAATATTTTTTCTTGTGATGAGAACTTTTAGGATTTGCTCTCTTAGCACCTTTTAAACATACAATACAGTATCATTAAATATAGTCTCCATGCTGTATGTTACGGGCCCAGGACTTACTTGTTTTAAACCTGGAAGTTTGTACCTTTTGACCTATATTCCCCCCACACACACCCACACCCTCCTGGCAAAGCATCCAGACTCTTCTTTTTTTAGACATAAACCCCGCTCCACTTCCTCAACTAAAACCATTAACAGTAATCCCTCAACAGCAGTAAACAGCTGGTTGGCATTCACATTTCCCGTTGTTCTTATTTTCTTTTTCTTGGCTGGTTAGACAACAGATTTGGGCCCCACATCCCACTCACTGCCCCTCACTGTCTGTGGAATGATCAGAGCCCCGGTCAACAGGACTCTGGGGACATTTTTTGTGTTTGGAGCTATAAAGAAGGCTCAGAAATGTCCCGGTTTCTGTGCGTGGCCCACGTGTGTTTGTCAGTATCTTCACACATCTCTGGATGGTGGCCCACGCTTCCAAGTCAGGGGAACTAACATGCCCTAACATGCCCCCCTCCTACACACAAACACATACACACACAGGTCCGGAGCCTTCTCTCAACCCCTCACCATCCATGGTCATGGTCTCAGGCCACTGAGGAGGAGGCGGGACTCTCAGCAGCTGAGGGTCTCAGGTGGCCAGGTCCCAGAAAGAGAGAGGGACTCCTGCCTACCCCCTTGCAGATGGCGGCCCCTCTGGTGACTGTTAGAGAATCCAACAGATGTTTGTTTTACAATGAAAACTAGTATTTAGTAAGAAACAGAAAATCAGTAATTCAGCCAAACACACCATCCACATATTCCCAGCCTGAAAGTGAAGAATCTCATACCTTAATTCTCTCCCACCGCACCCCATCCCCAGCTCCCTCCCTCCATCAGTCCCTAGTGCCTAGCAGTCCCAGCCTGGGTCTTTGGGGGGCCTTATATCCCCACACCTGTATCCCAGGTGGGTGAGAGCAGCATAAAGCAGAGACCAACCCAAGACAGGCCTTTCTGACATGTGCTTGACCTCCTGGTTGATCCTCACTTCTTGTTTTCCCAGCACACTTTCTCGAATATTGTCCATTTGTATTGAGGGGTGTCATTGTGTTCTTGCTCTAGCCACAAGCCCTGAATGATCCAGCCACCACAGTGGAGGTTTGTCAAGCCCTTGCCAGGTGCCTGGCCCTGAGCATGTTGTGCAGATATCCCCTTTCAGGCCCAGAGAGGGAAAGCCCCTTGCCCAGGGCCACACAGCAAGTAGGGCTAGCCCGGATGCAAGGGCCATACATTTCAGATCCTCACTCTTCGGCGGCAAGCTCTGAGACCCCACTTTGTGTGGGATTTGTGTGCCTGTTGGTGGGATGGGTGACAGGAACGCTTTGGTGAGAGGTAAGACGTGGAGCCCTATTGCTGCTCATCACCCTCTGGGGGACTTGTTCTCAGGGACAGTGCGGCTACGAGGGGCAGTTCAGAACCCCACAGGTGACACTGACCTCAGTCCTTCCATAGGGCCAGGTGCTCTGTTTAATGCTATGCTGCTGCTGTGAACATCAGTGGTTTTCAAGTGAGGGTGTACTATCCAGGGCTTTCCACGGAAACAAAACCAGTAGGATTTATACAGACATAGAGAGAGATGTATTAAAAGCAACTAGCTCACACGATTATGGAGGCCAAGGAGTCCCTGATTTGCTATCTGCAAGCTGGAGACGCCAGAAAGCCATCTCCAGGGCAGGGGATTTCATCTCAAGCCCAAAGGTCTAAAGACCACAGGAGGGCGCCTGGGTGGCTCAGTCGTTAAGC